ATTTAATCTATAATATAAAGATTAAAATGCATTATATTTTGTTTTCATATCAGCGGAAATGGACATAAAATAAGTACGCATTTGCGCTTTTACAAGCAAACGATTGTCCACGTATCGTTTTTAAAGGTGAATGCGTACCAGTTATATCCATCCCTGGTTATTAATCACTGAAAGCCAGTGTCCTTGACTACAGAGAAGGTTTGATAATTAAGTGTGATAAACCTCCTAATTTTCTGAGTAACATCTTTTGATTTCACTCTGAACTGAATTTCTTTTGCTATGAAACGCTTGTGTTACTGATGGTGTGAGTACAGCATTCTTTACTGGAATGGATTTGCTTTTCAGAAACACTTCCTATGCTTTGCTGACTCACAGTGAGGTGAACAATCACATTTGTTGCGTGGAAATTTTAGGTGGTAGACCCACCTCAAGAAATTTTCGGAGATCAGTGTATGTAAAATGCATTTCTAATGTCCTTTTCACAAACCAGGGTACCAGGATACTGCTCACCCTGGACCACCGTGAGGAACAGAGAAACTCACTGGAAGGCAAAACAGATCCTGGAAGTAAAGGCAGTACCTGAGTATAGTTAGCTCTCTCAGAAAGTGTCCCCCCTTGCATGTGGAGTACCTGAGTATAGTTAGCTCTCTCAGAAAGTGTCCCCCCTTGCATGTGGAGTACCTGAGTATAGTTAGCTCTATCAGAAAGTGTCCCCCCCTGCGTGTGGTTTTATACAGTGATAATATTTTTTACTCATACAGTCATATAGTGTTTGATTACCTCAGGCGATAAGAGAAGACGGATCGTTTTTAAGCAGTTTCTGGTAGGACGCTCCTCAGAATAGTCTCAGGCTTTCCTTCAGCCTCTAGTCTCTGTGGGTAGTGTTCAAAGTGTGATGACTAATGTAGAGCATTCAGCTTATATCATAGACTGACTGATGCGAAAACCACACTATAAACAGTGATGAGGAGGCTATTCATCTTATTGTATTTGGTTTGACAGTGAGCAATTTGTTATTTCGTGGCTCGTGTTTGCTGAGTGCCGATTGTGCTCATGTTACATGTTACAAAATCCATTTTATCTTTGTTAAGTTACATGCAGCAGATTAAAGTCAATTATACAACACTTAGTTCCAACCAAGAAATCTGATTGGACAAGAGGCGTTCTATGAGGCCGGTTATCAGAGTCAATTACACAGTTTTATTAATACTAATATACAGCTTATATTTCCAGCTTATACTGCTCTTTAGTTACATGAAATACGTATTGCAAATAGTTGTGGTGCAGTTCAATAAATTATGAGCGCATTTATTTACAGTACAGAATGTTTACCTGTTCTCCTTATGCATTTATCTGTCCATCTGTTCATCTATCCATCTTCTGCCTGCTTATCCTGTGCCTGGATCCCACCCCAATCAGCTTGGAGCACAAGGATGGGATGTATTTTTTGAAAAAATACAGATTACAGCAGTGATTCTCAACGGGTGACATCATTTGTCCTGAATTTTGGTTGTGATTTACTGACCAAGGAATAATATGGGTCCTGAGGCTTCACCAGCTGAGCATGAGAGAGACGACATGAGATTGACAAGACGGTTGTTTTGGCAGCTGCAGTTTTTCAGGTTCATGGTTTACTGGTCAATCTATATCTCATCAACACCTATTGTCATGAGCTAATGACTAGAAGAAGAATGTTACAAGTACTATTGGGCCAAATGCAGTTCCAAGTACTAGAGAGCCGAATGTAGTCCTGAGTACTATACAGGCCAAATGCAGTTCCAAGTACTAGAGAGCCGAATGTAGTCCTGAGTACTATACAGGCCAAATGCAGTTCCAAGTACTAGAGAGCCGAATGTAGTCCTGAGTACTATACAGGCCAAATGCAGTTCCAAGTACTAGAGAGCCGAATGTAGTC